AAAAAAAAAAAAAAAAACAGTCGTTAGTTATCCCCACAGGAGTAACACAAGTGGCAAAATGTTTGGAAGCAAATTGCTATAAATGAAGACATCGCCATGAGTGTTATTTCTTGCATCCTGAGTTGTGTGGCTCGTCATCGTTGTTTGGTCGTTTAGTCGTGTCCGACTCTTCGTGACCCCATGGACCAGAGCACGCCAGGCCCGCCTATCTTCCACTGCCTCCCGGAGTTATGTAAAATTCATGTTGGTTGCTTCGCAGACACTGTCCAGCCATCTCATCCTCGGTCGTCCCCTTCTCCTCTTGCCGTTGCACTTTCCTAACATCAAGTTTTTTTCCAAGGAGTCTTCTCTTCTCATGAGATGGCCAAAGTACTGGAGCCTCAGCTTCAGGATCTGTCCTTCCAGTGAGCACTCAGGGTTGATTTCCTTTAGAATTGATAGGTTTGTTCTCCTTGCAGTCCAGGGGATTCTCAAGAGCCTCCTCCAGCACCACAATTCAAAGGCATCAATTCTTTGACGGTCTGCTTTCTTTATGGTCCAGCTCTCACTTCCATACATCACAACAGGAAAAACCAGTATTCAACAAATAATGTATATGGTGATTTCATAACTAGAAGCAATTTATCTCCAAATGTTAAACCTACTGCTTCCTATACCTTCTTCCTCTCCCCCCCCCCATTACACTGGCATAAAATCCTAATAGGTTTTTGTTTTTTATTAAGATGTACCAGGAAATCTATTTGGAGGAAAAAGTCAATACTACCAAAATAGAGGAGGGAAAAAAATCTCCATTATCAAATTATTTTAAAAAGAGTGTTTTAGTCTATAACTTTTAAAAATATTAATGTGAATTCTGGATTTTAATTTTAGCAACACCACTTAATGGCTGTGTGAATCTAAATAATTCTTTGTGATGCTCTAAGCCTCAGCTGATCTAACTGCAAGGCAGGGTTAATTATATGTTTCTTAGAGTGGTACATTCTGGGTGCATCCTGGGCTCCTCAGATGAAAGATAGTTGTTGTCAAAATGTAAAAAGTTAGCTGTTATGATTAATGATGATAATTTAAAGAAATTTATACAGGTTGTGTGCTAAATGTCATTGTTCATTATTAAAATAGGCTGCTAAGATTGGCAATATAGAAAGCTAATCAATCAATATATGGGGTTTGGATAATACAAAACAGTGGGGGAGCATGCGTATGGAGGGATGAAGGGCAGGCTTGAGTAATATGATAGCATGTAAAGTTCAGGGATGAGAAGAGAAATTATGATGTTTCCTGTAAATATATTGCAGAACTATATTCCCTCCTAAAACTTACAAATTAATCTCAGGTTACTGATCACCTTTCCATCAAAATTCATGTCTTCATACGAGTGGTGGTGGCATGCTTTCATAGGCATGTTATGAATTATGGTTGATATTTCAGATGCCAGAGACTAATCGCAGTGCAGCGCTGGGGAATATTTCCTTGATAAATGTTAATTTCACAAATCATGTTTGACTTTTGGTTTATTACTTAATATGTGACAAGGGGCTTTGGGTGACTAGATTCCTAATGCAATAATGAATCTAATCCATTTTCCACAGTTTATTTAAAGCTGAAAATGCATTTGGAGGCGGGGGGAATAAAAAATTTAGCAGCCTATCTAAGGTAGCATAACAATCATTCTACTACCATTTTAGATTTTCTATAAGTTTCGCACCTTTTTACTGATTGATATACTGCTATCCTCAGTCATTATGGCTAATAGATGCAGAATAATTCTAAGTATAGGTTCAATAGCTAGGAAGGCTTCCTTCCTTCCTTCCTTCCTTCCTTCCTTCCTTCCTTCCTTCAAATCATAGAAAAGTGAAGTTGTAAGGGGCCTACAAGGTCATCAAGTCCAACCCCCTGCTCAGTGCAGGAATACAATCAAAGTATATCTGCCAGGTGCTTATCTAAATTTTTCTTGAATGCATCCAATGTGGAGCACTCACCAACTTCCAAGGTAACTGGTTCCACTGTCGTACTGCTCTAACAGGAAGTTTTTCCTGATATTCAACCAAAATCTGGCTTCCTTTAACTTGAGCCCATTGTTGCATGTCCTGCACTCTGGGATGATCAGGAACAGATCTTGCCTCTCCTCTGTATGACAGCCTTTGAAATATTTGAAAAGTGCTATTATATCACCCCTCAGCCTTCTTTTCTCAAGGCTAAACATGCCGAATTCTTTCCTCATAAGGATTGATTTCTAGCCTCCTGACCATCCTTGTCGCCCTCCTCTGAACTTGTTCCAGCTTCTTAGCATCCTTCCTGAAGTCAGGTGTCCAGAACTGGACACAATAAAGTGAGGCCTAACCAGTGCTGAATAGAGGGGGACTAGCACTTTGCAGGATTTGGAAACTATACTTCTGTTAATGCAGCCTAAAATAGCATTAGCCTTTTTTGTAGCCACACCGCACTGTTGGCTCATATTTAGCTTGTGATCTATGACAATTCCAAGATCCTTCTCGCTCATAGTTTTGGTAAGCCAGGTATCCCTCATCTTGTTTGTTTGTTTGTTTGTTTGTTTGACTTGTATGCCACCCGTACTCTGCAAGAGTCTCTGGCCGGTTTCCAACATCAATTAAAACAGCTCAGTTAAAAACACTAAAAATCAATACGGTTACATCTACTCTACAAAAGCAAAAATAAAAACAAAAACAATCTACAAAAACAATCTAGATCCATGACTATCAATTAAAATTAAAACCTTCAATTAAAAACTTCAATTAAAAGACTTCCAGAACAGGAAGGTTTTAACATGGCGCCAAAATGCCAGTAACGTCAGCGCCCGCGGATGTCGTTTGGGAGGGCATTGCAAAGACCGGGGGGCAGCTGCCGAAAGGGCCCTCCGCCTACAGGCCATCCCTCTCACCTCACTGAGGGATGGCTCTTTCAGGAGGGCCCCCTGGCTAGATCTCAGTTGCCGGGTAGGTTCGTATGGAAGGAAGTGGTCCTTCAGGTATCCAGGGCCCAAGCCATTTAGGGCTTTATATGTCAAAACAAGCAGTTTGAATTGGGCCGAAGCAACAACTGGTAGCCAGTGTAACCTGGCCAGAATCGGCTGAATATGGTCTCTCGCGGCTCCTCCACTCACCAGTCATGCAGCTCGATTCTGAACCAGTTGTAGTCAGTGGGTCGTCTTCAAAGGCAGCCCCACGTAAAGCGCATTGCAGTAGTCTAAATGGGTTGTTACCAGTGCATGTGCAAATTGTGTAACTGTACAATTGGTTTCTTTTTCTGAGGTGCAATACTTTGCACTTATCCCTTTTGAATTTAATTCTATTGCTTTCGGCCCAATGCTCCATCCTATCAAGGTCATTTGGATTTTTT